ATCAGGGTAGCGACTGACGTCTGACTAAATAGTAGAATTGGGCTGAATATTGAAATACTACTTTTTGATCAATATTCCTAAAGTAATGAACTAGAGAAGTTCTCGCTCGGACACACACTCCATAATCTAGTATATTATAAGAGCATAAACCTGAAGCACGGGGAGGCACTCTACTGTCTTATGTTTTTATCTGTTTTAAGAATAAAAATCACACAATACCTTTGTTTAAGAACCCTTTATTTTATTACATCAAATGGCCGGAGGTCAAATGTAAATTGTTGTCATGACTTTGCAACCAGAAGCAAACCAAAAAGTTTGACATTCTGTACAGAAGGAGAACTATTTCATGATTCATTAGTCTTTCAGTATAAACTTTTTTTCAAAATGTCAAAAAATATGAGACTTAGGTATGTTGTTTCCGGTGGCGGTGACGTTAGCAGCGACGTCAGCAATTTGTAAAAGTTTGTGATTAGGTCAGTATTATAAGGGGTACTACTAATGGTAAATTATTGATATTTTGTAAGCAGTTGTATAAGCATTGGCATATCCCATTGTCATGGAGATCACTTACCCAAGGATTATGGACTTTGAAACTTTTGCATAGTTTACATGTTTAAGTTTGTAAATAGCTCAGTTTATGGGGAACCACCAATGATAAGTCACTGATATTTTGTGTGTAGTTGTATTAACAATGGCATTTCTCATTTCCATAGAGGTTATTTTTCCCTGCACCTCCGCCTAGGTTCATTGACTTTTTTTTTTGCATAAGTAGTGAGGATTTTATTATTATTCGATGGATACTAATTCTAGTGGATTTTGTGGTTACAGGGGAAACGGTGACCTATATTTGCTAACATCCATGTCATTACAACTGAAAATCGAAAAAATAATGCATGATCTCTTTTTTTTTTAAATTTTACTGATGAATGCTTTCGGAACAGTTGAATATTTGTATAGAAAGCACATAAAATCTGCAAAAAACATTCTTATATTTGTCTTAAAATCATCAACCTACAATTTCAAATCAATACATTTTTTCTTGAAAATTTTTCTGTTGTTTTTCAGTTGCTCTGATTTCAAGATTAATTTTATCTTGGTTAGGTTGCTGTTTGTCTTATAAGAGTAACTTGACCTTGATGTATTTTCATTGTTCTGTGATTCATTAAGAACTTAGGTCATTGTTCAGTTATTGTCCATATTACCTGAGCTATAATTGTTTTTATACGACCGCAAAAATATTTTTGGGTTCGTATAATGGTATGATGTCGTCGTCATCGTCTGCGTCGTTGTCCGAAGGCACATTTGGTTTCCGGACAATTACTTTAGTTTTAGTAAATGGATCTCTATGAAATTTAACAAGAAAGTTCAATACCACAAAAGGAAGATTGGGATTGATTTTGGGGGTTATGGTACCAACAGTGTAGGAATAAGGGGCCAAAAACAAGCAATTTTGTAAGTTTCCGGACAATAACTTGTGTGTAAGTGTATGGATCTCTCTGACATTGTACCACAAGGTTCCATATCACAAAGGGAAGGCTGTGATTGAGTTTGGGGGTAATTGCCCCAAACATGCAAGAATTAGGGGCAAAAAATGGGCCAAAAACAAGAATTTTTCTAGTTTCCAGACAATAACTTGTGTTTAAGTGTATGGATCTCTCTAAAATTGTACTACAAGGTTCCATACTACAAAGGGAAGGTTGGGATTGAGTTTGGGGGTTATTGCTTAAATGGGGGGGGGGGGGGGCAAAAAGTTTAGGGGGATTTTTTTTCCAATTTTTTTAAGGGGTTCATATTTTTTTTTTTCAAAATTTTTCAAATTTTTTGAAAAAAGGAGAAATCTTCAATTGCACAGTATTGCGCAATAGATTTTTAAAAGATCTTTGACCACATTTATTTTGTGTCAGAAACCTATATTATGTCAAAAATTTGATCACAATCCAAATTCAGACTGTATCAAGCTTGAATATTGTGTCCAAATTTGCCCCAACTGTTCAGGGTTTCGACCTCTGCGCTCAGCGAAGTATTTCATTAAATAATAGAAAGGTGTACATAGCTTCCTGAAGGGGTTTTCATACCGTGGCCTCAATTTTCATGGCTCAGTCAGCAATGTTCAGGAAAGTTTCTCTGGAAGGAATCTTACACAAACAAATTGAGTTGCATTGTATTTGAAATTAAGAAAAACCTTGGGTGTAAAATAAAAACTTCAATTTAAATATACATGACTTGGTATTTGTATATCATCCATCTTGATATATTTTCTCTCTGGAGACTTCAAAATATACTTGGATCTTATTCACAGTTTTGATTGATCTTTCCATTTCCATGTAGCAACATTCCAGCAGCACCTGAATATGGAGTATACATCTCCCAGTTAAAACAAGGTTCCAGAGCTTTCATTCCCTTTCATGATTTTCCTCAATACAGGACTGCTGCTTACAAGGAAGCTATTAAACCAAGTTCAAAAATAGTGAAGTTAAAGCCATCCCTTTGTAATTTTTACGGACGCTATCACAAGTTGTCATAGATAACATTAATGGTCACCACAAACCTGTCCTCTTTTTCCTAATATACAACAAAACCAAAATTGTACTTACATTACCAACGTGACAGGTGCCACAGTAGACAATGATCTGCTTGCCCTTCCAGACCAGGTGAAATCACCCCAGGTTTTTGGTTGGATTCATGTTGCTAAGTCTACTTTTCTATGTTGTGTTTTGTTGACTCTTGGGCTTGTCAGTTTGTCTTTGACTTATGAGTTTGATTGTCACTTTGGTATCTTCCGCCTCTCTTTAAATCAACCAATGGTGCCATCAGAGTTTAAGAAAATCAATCCAGTCAACAAACACCAAAATAACTAGGACTGACAAAATACAAAGACTAGTAAGACAAATTAAGATTTAACTGTAATGTCTATCTGTCAAAAATAATGACTGAGAATTGTCCTTTGAGACATTTTTGAGATATCAGGGCAAAAATATGCATCTTTTTTCCAAATGATTTAAATTTTTGCAATTTGTAACAAAGTAAAAGAAGGAATCTGGTCAGCTGTCCCTTTAATGTTTACCCTGTGCATGCTTTTATTTGTATGCCACAACACAGAATGACAAAGTAATAAGATAGTACAGCCAATCAACTGGAAATACAAACAAAATGACTAAAAGGAAGATTGTGCACCGTAGCAAAATGTCCATCGGCTGTGTAAATGAATTCAATTGTGTGTCATACTGTGTCATTGAGGTACAATAGTTAAAATATGGTAAAAGTCCAATAACTTTTATTAAAATGGTCAAATCAAAATGACAATATAATACAGTCAACTACACATGACGGCAAACAAACCTATTTTAATAACATAGAGCCACCTATAATTCTTATTCGTATAAAAAATAAGCAGTAGAAGTTTAGATTTTAATTATACGTCAGTTACATCAGAAGTCGGTATAGACAATAATGCTCCTTCAACATGAGACTGTGAAACATCAAAGTTTAGATATGATCCATATTGCCATGTAATTACAGGGGACCTCAACATCAAAAATGACCAAGAGGTTATAAACTTTCTGAAAAAAGAACCAACATTTAAATATATGTCTGAATATTACTGATATTTGCATATCAAATTTCGAAAATTATTTAGAAATAAATAAAAAGAGTAAGTAATACACATTTGAAGGTCCACACTATGTATTGTTACCTAAACAACACCCAAAAAAAAAACGTAAACTATTGTTTCATATCGACCTCTAGTAAGTGTTCTACTACTATATGTCACTGCTTTTAACTAGTTCCTTAACTACTATGAAGAACTTCATATCATTAACATTTGTAATAAAACATATGAAATTAGTACTAGTGGAATTAATTACTTTTGGAGTGTACAAAATTCTTTGGGTTTTTTATAGATAAATTATGTTATTTTGATGGTCCTTTCGATTTGGTCGACAGTTTTGACTTTTCCACTCTTCATACTTTACTTCCACAAAAACTTATCAAAATAGGTTTTCCTATTTAATGGAATGGTCGTTTGAAAAATCTGATTGCAAATTTATATGCTGTGACTCATAAAAAGACTATATTTTTTCGTTAAACAATCAAGAACTCTCTCAATAAACTGCCGAAGTTTACCCAAAGGAACTTACTTTAAATAAATCAAATATTTAAAACACTAACACTCAAACAGATACGTCAGATATTGCAAGTAATTTCAGATCTGTACTTTGTGTCTTTTTTGTTATGAGGGATGTATAAATTCCCTGCCACGTCCAGTCTGTGTTTTTGTTAGATGTTTTTCTGCTTTTTATCAATCTGATGAGTTAAGCATTTTTCAAATAATTTTATAGTCTGTTCTTATGGTGAACTGTTACACTACTGTCCCAGGTTAGGGAAGAGTTGGATCCTTCAACCATTTAACCCCGCCACAGTCTTTATTTGCCTGTCCCATGTCAGGAGGTTGTAGTTCAGGAGTTGTCGTTGGTTCATGTCAGTCATATTTGTTTATCATAAATTGTTTTGATATAAATAAGGCCATTAGTTTTCTCAATTAATTTCATATTTTTCATGTCAGATTGCCCATAATTGCTTATATTCACTTTATATGAACTTTGGTGGATAGTTCTCTTATTGGCAATCATACCACATCTCCGTATTCTAATACAGCCTAGTATGAGAACTTGCTGTGAAACAGTATGGGAGGAGCTGCACTTACAGGGTGTTGTTACAATACATAATTATAGGGCTGTCTGTCAAGGTCATCATATTCCTGTTGGTTTGAAACCATAAACTGTAATATATGTTGTACTTTGCCAAAAAAATTACCTGAACATGAGCATATCTAAAACTAATGTAGAGATATGGGAAACATTATTCATAGCAAAAACCAGCCGAACAATGTAATTTAAATATCTTCGTATAAAAAAAATCATTATAAACCACTATTAACCCTACATTAATCACTTTTAAAGCTGCCATAAAATCTAATGGTACAGAGTAAAAAATAATCATTTAATACTGACACATTAAAATTTATTTGTCTGAATGAAAAATGATAAAATACATTAAAGAAGTAAATACACAAACTATAGTATTACACAACTAGCTTCCATTTGTATTTGCTGATATCTGAAACTGTTTTTCTTCAACAAGAGCATGCTGTTTATTACTTCTAAAAACTTTTCTCATATTATCATTATGATTTTCACTTTTTTCTGACTTTACTTCAGTATCACAATTTTCATCAGAGTTATATCCCATATCCCCATTCTGATTTGAGTTATGTCCCTTGTCACAAGCTTGTTCCAGAGATTCCTCAGTTTCTTCATCTTCTGATTCTTCATCTACAATAAAACATTTCTATATTTATTTGTAACCAAATATAATTTTCAAGTAGACTCAATAAAATATCTCATCTGCTTAAATAGTCATCTATAGTGTTTAGCTTAAATGTTTTAAAGAGTTATCATGCTAACTACAAATGAAATTCTTTTGTTGAGTAGTACTTGAGTAAAGTGCGACAAAACATTTTAAGATCTTTAACATATTGAAAATTCAAAGTACATTGTATCTGCAATTAAGAAGTAGGTGTCTGGCAAATATGAACAATGCTCACAAATTGCAACTCATTTATAAGCCGGTGACCAAGTATGAAAAGAGAAAATTGTGATGGAAATATTTGTTGGTCAAAGGAGAGCAGATGGTCAGATGCACAGAAAGACAAGGTGAATACTATGGCTCCACTCTTGGAGAAAGGGTATAATATCAAGGTCTTAAGTATAGAAGACTCCATATTTATACATGAATTGCCTCGGAAGTCAGACCAACATGTAAATTTTCTAGGACAAAATGTATTTGATATTTTAATAACAGATAAAATTCGTAGATGATCCTAGATCCATGAAATGAGGTAAAAATCAAGATGATCTCTGTTAATTTGTCATGTACACAAAAACTGAATGAAGATAATAGAAACATGGAGATGAGGTCAAAGTCATGTGACTTGCACATTTGCCTGTACTTAAAAAAAACTTGTTTATATTGCTTTTTTCTGTCAATTTATGGAATTTTGCATTTGTTTTAGACATTTAGTTATTTCTGTTATATTGTGAACTTTCAATTTCTGTGTAGCAATATTCTATTAGTGCCTGCATATGGAATATACATCTTTAAATGGACACCATATTCAGGGGCTTGCATTTCCTTTAATGATATCCTTGATAAATGGTTACTGCTTTCAATAAAAGGATTTAAAATGGAAAAGTTGCAGTTATCCCTTTTCAAGTTTTATAGACACTATCATGACATCATTGTAACCACAATTATGTCCCTTTTTCCTCAATTGAGCTTTTTTACTTTAATATTAGAGAAACATGAAGGGTGTGACTAGTGGAGCAGGAACTGATTCCCCTTACAGAGCGCCACGATTCACTCCTGTTTTAAGGTGGATTACAATGCTCTGTCTTTATTTTTCTGTTTTGAAAACTGCAGTTTGTCTATTTGTCATTTTTGTCTCGCCAACATGAAGTAAAAAGGGCAAGGTGTTCGTTTCAATGGCAGCAGCTTCAATTATGTTTTAGTTTGTGATTAGGTCGCTTCAATGGGAACCAATAGTGGTAGCTCAAAACTCAATGATAGTATGCAGTTGTATTAGTATTGGTACATCTCATTTCCATAGAGATTAAATGGCCTCACTTCCTTATCATTGTTCATTCACTTCATTGACTTTTGAAATTGCATCATTTACATGTTAATGTTTGTGTTTAGGACATTTCAATGGTATTTGATGAGCAGTTGTTTAACATTGTAGCATTGCCATTTCTCATTTCCACTGATTTTTATGGCCCTGCACCTTCAGTTGTGGTTCATTGAATTTGAACATTCTGCAAAGTTTACATGTTAAAGTATTGCCATTCTAATTTCAACAATTGCATTATACTATCAAAATCAGATAAATGCTAAACATATCAAAGGATTCATTCTTTTTTTTCTTAGTATTGTCAGTTTTTCTTCGACTTATGATTTTGATTATCCCCTTTGTCTGCCTCTTTTTTTAGCTTGTCAAAGCTTGTTAGAATATGGCAGGATTACAACCAAACCAAATAGTAAATGCTATACCTGATTCTTCTTTGTCTTCTTGTTCCTTTTTGGGTTTCTTGCCTTTTTGCTTCTGTTTTTTCTTCAATCTGGAAAAAGGTTAATCATTTGTTACTCATTTATCAAGATGTAAAAACAAATACTGATTTTGCAACCAACCAAAAAGTATTATATACCTAGTGACAATTATCATTAATGTTTAAAACTTTACATAGTATAGTTAATTCATGCTTTCCAAGATAAAAAAGATAGTTATCTCATTGTCAATCATACCAGGTCTTCAACTTAATTTTTATCTTTCTGCATAGCAATACAGGCTGTCTTCTAACACAAAATATAAAAAGATCAATTCTTAGATCAATCAAAGTGATCTGAAATCACTAATGAAAAGATTGGATGAATTGTGTATATAATTTCAATCATATTTTACTCCTTCATTGCAGTGATGGTGTACTAGAACAACTTGCTAAAGCACTTTTACATATTTGCTTGTTATATTACTACAGATTTTTATAAAGATAAGCAATTTTTCAGTGGATAAAATAGCTTAATAGAGTTAATGTCAGTGGATCACCAAATTTGCATAATATCTTCTTTTTAATTGCAACTTAATATTTATATTTTTTTAAACTGAAGAAATTTCTTATAAAAAAAAATGATCATTGTAGTGTTTTCAGTAAACCTGGGACCAATGGATAAAGAGACTTGAAAGTTAAAGTCCTTTTTTTTATCTTTCAAAATTAACCTGTGAATGGTTGTTTTTTAAGGGCATGTCAGTGTTCAAACATATTCATTTATGTTCTCACTCCTAAGTATAGCTTATTGATTTTGATTTAAAACAATATTATATGACATCAAAGATGCATGGTTGATAAAGGGTAATTTTCACATCAATAAACAAAACTTAATATGATGTTTTTATTCTATAATCCAAAGATGGAGAATTTTAATTTGTGAGGCAAATTTATATAATTTTTTAATTTAAGAAGGTTCACTGATTTTTTAAGTCTTAATTATGCAATAATGGAAAGAAAGAGGAATGTTTAAAGGATTTTTATTGAATTAGATTTCATGTTTACCAGAAGCAGGTTTTCCAAGGTAAAATCTAAGACTTTTTTCTTATTTTTTGTTAAAATGAGGGTAAATATTTCATTGCAAAAATACATTTCCTGTACTAGAACATACATGAATATACAAATATCTTCACTGATAAATGTAACCTATTAAAATCATGGATTAATTACAGATAATTGTTTCAAGAAAAATAGACCCCACTTGTACTTTTTACTCATACAGATTTTCTTTTTGGTCTTTTCTCAAAAAATACATTATATATTAATCCTTAATCCATTATCTTTCAGACAAAATTTACAGAATTTTTTTGTATTCTGTAGAGAGAAGCAAATTGAATATAAAATTTGTCATCAAATTGCCTTTTTCAAAATGTCTAATGTTTTTTTTAAATGTCATGTCTCTAGAATTTCTGTTTTATTGAATTAAAATGTATTGGTTTGGTTTTTGCTAAATGAAATATTCTAGTGCTGCAGAATTATATATAAAACAATAATAAAAAATATTTCGATGCTGTCTAGTTGTCAAACGTTTATTTCACTGAAGCAGATGATTCAACTATTTTAAAATATTCAAAAATTGAACTTAACATAATTTTAAAAGAGAATTTCAAGAAATAACTAGAAAACTGACATGTAAACAGGGGCCCAGCTTGTACATTTTAGTGTGAGACCTAGACACAAATAATTAATTCAAATTCATGAGGAATCAATTCTTGTAAATTTTGACAATTTTACTATTTTTTCCTTTTTGCCATTTATCTTGAAATGTTTGAAAGATAGAGATAAACTTAAAAAAGCAAAAATGATCAGCAATACAAGATCTTCAAAAAGTCAATGGCTGAATTAATAGTTAAGAGAACTCGGTATCAGAGTTACTTCTCTTAAATTACCATTTTTTCAAATTTTTATTTGGCATTTTTTCCCTATTATCTTGAAAATTATAATAGATATAAAGACACTTTTAATAGCAAAAATGATCAGCAAGATAAGATCTTCCAATAAGCCATTATGGCTTAAAACTTAAGTTAATGGAGTTATTACCCTTTAGAGGTGATTTTTACCATTTTTTTAGTTCCGGCCTATTATCTTGAAAAGTATATATAGTAGATAATACTAATGAAGACAGAAACTTTAAGAAGCAAAAATGATAAACAGGACAAGATCATCAAATTGGTCAACATGACTGAAATTGTCGGTTAACTCTATATAGAGTTACTGCCCTTTCATGACGATTTTTACCAAAACGTGACCATTGTTGAGTTGCAGGTGGTAGACACAGGCTCTTTGGAGCCTCTAGTTACACCTGCAAATAAGTTGGAACCGCCTTTCAAATAATAAACACAAAAAAATTCTAGCACAAAAATACCTTTCATATAATTTGCGATTATTTTTTTTAAAACTAGTTTTTACCAAATCCCACCATTCCAACTTTTCGTTTACTGCAAATATGACACCAAGAACTTGGAAAAGCATATTATACCCACATATAATTTTGGTTAAAATGATATTTCTCAAAATTTGTGAATTTTAATCAAATCTATGTTTTTATTGCCAATTTAATTCTTCAATTTTTACAATCATCAATTTTTGACAGTGGGAATCAAGTTCGAATAGCAAACTATATCTATACATATATATATTGATGTCTAAAAATAGCAACAATCAACATCCAATCTATTTAGGCGTGGATCAGCTTGTGTAAATAAACTGATACAGTTACTAAATTACAATTATATAAATGTATAAGAATATAACTTAAACACGCTAATTGATACATTAAAAAAGTTTTATTAGATTTTAAATAGATATACGCAATATTTTGCTAAACAAACTAGCTTCATCAGGCGAGTGCATCTATCCAGGTGAAATCGGATGCATGACAAAAAATATTTTTGAAGGTTTAACTACACATAGTTGGAATAAAATATGTTAAACTTTTATTCCAACTGTGTGTAGTTAAACCTTTAAAAATGTTTTTTGTCATGCATCCGAAATATTGCGTATATCTATTTAAATTCTAATAGAACTTTTTTAATGTATTAATTAGCGTATTTAAGTTATATTCTTAGACATTTATACATATATATATATCAATTTTTGTTGAAATCCATAGATCAAACACACAGTCAGGGGCATTACTTAAACAACTAACTTTCAAAATTACCTATAAGATGAATACGAGGCTCTTTAAAATAGGTTTTCTAAAGGTTACTTTTGTAAATTTCATTTCATTTACGGATTTTACTAGCATTGACTACTTTCCCTTAATTAATAAGTCATCTCACTAATAAATTAATTCACAGTAAGTATTACTGAGTTGTAAAACGCCTTCATTTGCATGCCAAAAGTGATATTTTAAAATATCACTCTACACCATCTCTAGTCTTATTGTTATTATTCATGTCTTTCTCTTGATTACAATGTATGTTCTGACAACCTTTTAGCCCTTTTCTTTGCAGTCCTTTCTTCTGCTTCTGTTTGGTTCTTCTCCAGCTTCTTCTGATATTCTGCATCAGCATTATCCTAAACCAAAATATATATTAAGCATATACTGTATTGAAGTGCTGTAAAAGATTCAATTGATGTTTAGAGATGTCTTTCAAGTTTTCACATTTACTCTTCCCTTAGTTGTTCTATTTTTTATATGTTTGTGGATTCTTTATTGATACTCATAAAACATCCATAATCTGGTTGTTGTTATCATTCATGCATAGTGGTAGCTAGTGAATATAATGTTTAATTGGCTAAAGCACATCCAAGGTCAACTGTATTTATGTAAAATGAAGTTATGGAAATAGGTGGAGCGGCAACCCATGAGTGGATACCTTAGTATTTACTTGTTTTCTTTCAATTAATTGTAAATAGTTACAAGTTTGGGAATCATTATTATTCATGGGAGACAAACCATGAAATTTTATGTTCAACAAAGTATAAATTTTCTATAGGCATGCATGCAAACATTGGCAAAACTTCGAAATCAAATATACATGAAAAATTATTTCACAATCCACCAAAATAAATTAATCCTTAATATAACATAACAAGAATGTGTCCATTGTACACAGATGCCCCACTCGCACTGCCATTATCTATGTTCAGTGGACAGTGAAATTGGGATCAAAACTCTAAATTTGGCATAAAAATTAGAAAGATCATATCATAGGGAACATGTGTACTAAGTTTCAAGTTGATTGGACTTCAACTTCATCAATAAAATGCTCCGCTGGGGCGTAGCTTGATCAGACCGCAGAGGTCGAACCCTGAACAGTTGGGGCAAGTATGGACACAACATTCAAGCTTGATACAGCACTGAATTTGGATTGTAATTAAATATTTGACACAGCATAGGTTTCTGACACAGAATGAAAGTGGTCTAAGAACTTAAAAATTTTTAATTTACCTATTCAAACCATATCATTATTTTTTGCTTTTATATAAATCAGAAATAACCAATTTAAAATGGAAAATTTTAAAGAAAAAAAATGAAAAAAAAATCCCCCCCAATTTTTTGAACCCCCTTATGATTCATCACCCCCAAACTCAATCCCAGCTTTCCCTTTGTGGTATGGTACCTTGCAGTACAATTTCAGAGAGATCCATACACTTGAACACAAGTTATTGTCTGGAAACTAGAAAATTGCTTGTTTTTTGGCCCCTTTTTGGCCCCAAATTCCTAAATGTTTAGGGCAATTACCCCCAAACTCAAACCCAGCTTTCCCTTTGTGATATGGAACCTTGCAGTACAATTTCATAACGATCCATACACTTACACACAAGTTATTGTCCTGAAACTAGAGAAATGTTTGTTTTTTTGCCCTTTTATGGCCCCTAAATACTAAAATTTTGAGGGAATTACCCCTAAAATCAATCCCAGCCTTCCCTTAGTGGTATGGTACCTTGCAGTACAATTTCAGAGAGATCCATACATTTGAACACAAGTTATTGTCTGGAAACTAGAAAAATGCTTATTTTTGGCCCCTTTTTGGCCCCTTATTCCTAAACTTTTTGGGCAATTACCCCCAAACTCAATTCCAGCTTTCCCTTTGTGATATGAAACCTTGTAGTACAATTTCATAAAGATCCATACACTTACACACAAGTTATTGTCATGAAACTAGAAAAATGCTTGTTTTTTGCCCCTTTTTGGCCCCTAATTCCTAAAAATTTGAGGCAATTACCCCCAAAATCAATCCCAGCATTCCCTTTGTGATATGGAACCTTGTGATACAATGTCAGAGAGATCCATACACTTACACACAAGTTATTGTCATGAAACTAGAAAAATGCTTGTTTTTTGCCCCTTTTTGGCCCCTAATTCCTAAAATTTGGACACAATTACCCCCAAAATCAATCCCAGCATTCCCTTTGTGATATGGAACCTTGTGGTACAATGTCAGAGAGATCCATACACTTACACACAAGTTATGTCTGGAAGTTACAAAAATGCTTATTTTTGGCCCCTAATTCCTAAACTGTGGGTACCATAACCCCCAAAATCAATCCCCACCTTCCTTTTGTGGTATTGAACCTTATGGTAAAACTTCATTGAGATCCATTCACTTAAACTAAAGTTAGAGTGCGAAAACTAATGTGTCTTCGGACGACGATGACGACGACGCCAACGTCATACCAATATACGACCACAAAAATTTGTTTGCGGTCGTATAAAAACTACCTTGACCAAAAACTTTAACCTGAAGCGGGACAGACGGACGGACAGACGAACAAACGGACGCACAGACTATAAAACATAATGTCCCTCTACTATTGTAGGTGGGGTATAAAAACATCTTTATTTGCCACACATTACTGATTTATTCTGGTTTACATATCTCACAACATGGATAGTGTCTTCAGGACAAAGGAGTGCACATGGCTTTCATACCATACGTAGTATGGATATTTTGCAGTTACGAAAATGTTGACTTATTATGTAACTTGTTTTGCAACATTATACGATTTAAGAGAATGTGAAAGTAAACTACGTTTTTTTAATCAAATAAACAATAGCAAAGCATGCCTTCCCAATGTTTGCAAGAAATTTGTTTAGGTGGAGAAAATTGAATGGATGAAAATAAACTCATTATAGATATCAGAATTGAAATTTTGTACGCCAGACGTGCATTTCATCTACAAAAGACTCATTAGTGACGCTCGAATCAAAAAAAGTTAAAAAGGCCAAATAAAGTATGAAACTGAAGAGCATTGAGGACCCAAAATTCCAAAAGGTTTTGCCAAATAGAGAACAAGGAATGACACTTCCCCTCCCTAAGACTTCTATCAGAGTTATGAAAAAGAAAATATCAAGACACAAAAGCATTTAATATCATGACATAATATTCATCAGATGAATATTCAAATTAACATTTGATAAAAGTAATCTTATAGGGATTGCTGCTGTCTACTTGAGGTACATATTCAAGTGTGCATAACACATTTCTGGAATAACATTCTTTAGATAACAAAATTTGAAAATTCAAATACATGAAATGTGTGTTATTACCACTTGGTCAGCTGATACTAAAAAGTAGGACTAATTCCTACTAGATGTAATGTCAACTTCGCCTGTAGGAGTTGCAAATTTAGGTTTTGTATGATTGCCTAATTTATTAATTGCAAATACATATATACACAAACTTACAAATATATTCAAATTTCCGATTTATAATTTTATGAATGTTTAGACAGCTAAGTTTTCTTAAAAGTGATCTGTTTTTGTAATATCAGAAAATAATTTGTATAGATATGATCATATCTGAGCTCTTTATAGTTCTATTGACAGGTTTTACTATACATCTTACATTATGAATAGGTATTATGCATATATATCAGGTGTTTATTAATCTTACTCGTTCAAATTTTTCATCTACATATTTCTGTCTAGCATATTCTCTCCGCCTTACTCCTCTGTAGACATGGAAATCTCCACTTCCTGCTCCTGCACTGGAACCTGTCAAGAAATATTAGTCTGAAGATTAATTTGTTTAAGGCAAATAAAATTGAGAATGGAAATGGGGAATGCTAGAAAATTGTTGCATTTATAATAAATAAAAGCAGTTGAAAACAAATCCCTTCTAGCCATAAACACAAATTTCATGAATAGTCCAAGAGCATGCATTTATAACTCTAAATGGTTAAAGGTAGAGGACATAAATAAGTATTGCTTCCTAAAAAGAAAACAGTTGGAAAGAAATTTCGAATAGCTTTTTTTTACATTTTGATTTTTTAGTGTGTGTATACTTTTCAGGGTATTTTTGCACAGTAATCTATAATTAAAACGCCAATGTGTATATAGATCAGTCTGTTATCAATGACCATTCAGAGACAACAATATGTTCTATGATTACATGTTGTACTTAATGCTTTTTTGTGGTGCATAAAGTGCAAAACTGTTGATTCTTTATATAAACTGTTAACACAGAGATATGTCTCGCCTATTTGTTATTTTGATAATGCAAATGTTGAAATTAAAATAGCAATACTTTACATGTTAGTTATGCAAATATTCAAAGTCAATGAACCATGACTGAAGGTACAGGGCTAAACAATCTCCATGGAAATGAGATGTGCCAATGCTAATACAACTGCATACCAAATACCATTGACTTATCATAAGTCGTTCCCTTTCAACAAACCTAAACACAAACATTACTTGTAAACTATGTAAAAATTTCAAAGTCAATGAACCATGATGAGGGGGTGGGGCTATATAATCCATGGAAATGAAACATGCAAATTGCCAATACATTTGCATACCGAATATCATTGACTTAACATTAGTGGTTCATCTTAAACTGACCTAATCACAAACTAATACATGTAAACTAAGTAAAAGTTTCAAAGTCAATAGACCATGACTGAGGGGTAAGGACCAAATATTCTCCATGGAAATGAGATGTGCTAATGCTTATACAACTGCATACCAATTATCATTGACCTACCACTAACAGTTCCCCTTAATCTGACCTAATCACAAACTAATACATGAAAACTAAGCAAAGTTTCAAAGTCAATAGACCTTGACTGAGGGGGCGGGGCCAAATAATCTCCACGGTAATGAGATGTGCCGATGCTAATACAACTGCATACCAATTATCATTGACCTACCACTAACAGTTCCCCTTAATCTGACCTAATCACAAACTAATACATGTAAACTAAGCAAAGTTTCAAAGTCAATAGACCTTGACTGAGGGAGCGGGGCCAAACAATCTCCATGGTAATGAGATGTGCCAATGCAATCACTGACCTACCACTAGTGGTTCACCATGAACTAGACTTAATCACAAACTAATACATTGTTGACGCCGCGGCTGCTGCTGACGCCATGGCTGCCGACGCCGTGGCCGGAAACATCATACCCATGTCTCGCTTTTTGACTCCGTCAAGGCGAGACAAAAACTTTTCCTCCGCTATTATTTCAAAATAACTGTTTTCAAAGCTTAATAGATTTTGTTTAACAAAACTCCATGTGAGGTCTGTAACCAATAAAACATGGTACATGTAAACATAAATGAAATCATTTAGATAATTTTTTACCTCTCCATTTTGTGTTCCTTTATACTTACCAGGAAGGTAAATTTGGATTGTCTTCGTGTTTTGTATATCCTTGGTTTGTGTATGTTCTTTTTTTCCCCGTCTGGAAGATAGATTTTGGGTTGCATTCAATGTGCATTTGGGAATGTTCTTTTATCCCTTCTGGAAGGTAAGTTTTGGTTGTCTTCATTGTGTGTTTGTGTATGTTTAAACCCCTTCTGTAAGGTAAATTTGGGTTACCTTCATTGTGTTTGTGTTAAATAATTATTTTTTTTTTCCTTCTCAGGAGTCACCACACTTCAGAATTATAGGGAGAAGTGACTGTCAAACAGGGAGAAGTGAAGACCCAACATGGAGATTTCTGGGAGAAGTGCAGCTTGAACAGAGAGACTTCAGGGTAAATTGAAGGATCATTTTAATACCTTTTAAGGATCAAATTTTCCAAGCATCTATACCGTTTTGTTATTTTTCAAAGCATTTTTGCATGACAACTGCTAAGGTGGTATTTCTTTGCATTGCCATGCTTCAGGTGTCAACATATATTTGTTCCACCTAACAGAAGTTCCATTATTGTTATAAACAATGTCATAATATCTGTTCCAGTTGGAATAAATATTCTATACCATTTATTCTGCTAGGAACATATAGTGTAATATTTATTCCAGTGGAAATAATATTCCAGAATATTTTTTCCACTTGGAACAAGTTTGTATTATGAAGGAACTTCTGGAAGGTAAATGTTTAGGTTATTTTCATTGTGTGTTTGTGTATGTTCTTTTTTATTCCTTCTGGTAGGTAATATAAGTTTAGGTCAACTTGATTTGTACATTTATCTTATATAAATCTTTCCTTTTACCCCAAACATTTCTTATAAATTCCAGTGGATCACGAGGCTTTCTTTCTTGTGATGACTCAGGAATAAAAACTTCTTTTGACTGAAAACAGAAATTAATTTAAATTCATTATCGTTTGTAAATGATAAATTCCTAAATGGTTTATTCAAAATTTAAATAGTCATACAAATTTTCATCACTTAATCAATGTCTTTTTTTAAGAAGCTGTGTTAGCTGTAATAGAAAATGTTCATGACCATTAGCCAATGTGGTTAAAGTCAACAAATTTTCTTTAGCAACATACATGTACATATTAATAAGCCATAAAATTTAAATTTAATTTTTTTTTTATAATATATTGGTCATTCTGAGGCCTTTTAAAGAAAACACAATATTGTTTGAATATTTTTTTGTAACAACTAACATGTTAACTATGGTGGATAGGCCACTTTATAGTTAGATCGGCCGTATACATAATGTAGATGTTTGGCCATTTTCAGGGCCTCATAAAAAATATTATTATAAAAAATATATACATAGTTTTAATTACAATTTAAATAAATTGCTTCGCCTAGTGCAGCTGGATACGACCGCAGAGGTCCAACCCTGAACAGTTGGGGCAAAAATGGACACAATATTCGTGCTTGATACAGGTCTGAATTTCGATTGTAATTCAATATTTGACACATAATAGGTTTCTGACACAGAATAACTGTAGTCAAAGAACTTAGAATTGGTTATATGATTTAAATTTATATTCAATTTTTTGCTTTTGTGCACTATGCTGTTGCGAATTAACCTCCCCCCCCCCCCTTTTTTAAAAACAAAAATTTGAAGGATTTTCTTTTTGATTTCTGAAACCTTGAGGAGAAAAAATTCCCCCCCCCCCCCCCCCTCTTTTAAAAAAAAAAAAAATTTCCCCTCAGTCATGGTCATAATTTCAATTCAAATTTCCATGGAGTTTGCAACCGTAATGACCCATTTTAATACATCATAAAAGTCTTTAAATAGAAAATGACTTACATAATCATAGCTAAAATTAATTTACCTTAATCAGCATTTTTAAAATTATTAAAATAGTAACTTCTAAAAATGAATTGACAGCTAATCACCTCAAGACAATACAAAAGTCTTTATACATAATTTAAAAGCAGGGTAAGGGAGGTAATTCAAAATAGTTTTTGAATTACCTCACTTACACTGTAATTTGTACTTAAGTAATTGTCCATTAACCAGGACACCCTTGTTTTTTCTCACTTTTTTGCCCCTAATTCCTAAACGGTTTGAGCCATAACCCCTCAAAGCCAATCCTATCCATCCCTTTGTGGTATGGAAACTTGTGGTATAATTTCAGAGAGATCCATACACTGTTCCACAAGTTATTGTCATGAAACTAGAAAAATGCTTATTTGGGCCCCTTTTTGGTCCCTAATTTCTAAACTGTCGGGACCATAACCCCCAAAATTAATCCCAACCTTCCTTTTGTGGTTATAAACCTTAGGTTTAAATTTCATAGAGATCCATTCACTTTATTTACATGTAAAGTTATTGTGCGAAAACCAATGTGTCTTCGGACGACTCCAACATCATACAAATATACGACCGTAAAAAAAATTTGCGGTCGTATAAAAATTTATGCACTCCAAATTAATTTTCAATTATTTTTGTATTCTTGTAAATACATAAAATATCATTATATAGTCCACACTGTGCAAAACAGTAAATAATCTTCAGATCATTGAAAAAAAATTAAGGTTCATCAAAAGGAATTGAAAAACATGGGCGTGTTTACACCACAAAATCTACTGTGAGTACAGACAAACTGATGCATCTAGGAAAGTTTTAAGGCATGGCAGGACCTACATATATAAAAGTTCTATGTAGTCTATGTTTTAGAAAATTAAAAGCTTACCTAGATTTTGATGTGCATTTTTTTCCAGTCTGCAGAAGATAGCAAAATTTAACAAACACATGAGTTTCATTTGATAAGGTCCACTCAGATAGACAGTTTAAATCATCTATTGTTTGCAGATGTCTATTGTCCATTTAAATCAATACTACTCACAACATTTATTATATGAGAGGAGCTTCTCAAACCTCTTTCCCAACTTAGTTTATTTTGGCACCTTCTGCAGGATTGAAAAAAAATGAATAGCAAAATCCAGAAAAGTTTATAATTTTCTCAAACTTAAAATGCATTTAAAATTCAATTATCTAGTTCTTGCCATGCCTTAAAACTTTTCCAGGTGCACAGGTTTGTCTGTACTCAGAGAATCTAAACAAACTTGTACATTTGGTAAGGAAAATAATCATCAGAAATTTCAATGTTTTATAACTTATACCAGTCTATAAAAATAAACAAGTAGTTTTGAAAGATGGAGATATACATGCAAAATTGAATGTTTAATGTAATTAAATTATCTACATTTAAATTACTTGTTCAAACATATAGTATATATGTTATTGAGAGTTATTTATTATCATTTGAATTGTTACAAAAAAGTATTTATAAGTGCACACCAAAGCGCTCCTCAGTAAGGAGTTTTATAAATATAACAGGTGAGACAGAAGATGATCATATTATATTGATGCAATAATATATTGCAGAAGGTATAAACAGTTACTTTTTTCTCCATCATTGTTAAAAATAAATTTGTTGAGTGCTCCTATGTCAGGAGGATTATAAAATACAAGAAGTAAAACAGGAAGTGAATCTTGTTATGTTCAAAGTACAAACTTCTTTGATTCTTCTTTAAATTTCATACTCATGGTTATGAAACAAAACATTTTTTACCAATTAAGTCAAAACTATGTATGCCTTTAAAATTGTTAAAGATTTTATTTTTTATGTTATGCCTACTGAAATAAATTTTTTCAGGTGTACATGCTGTACATAAACATTACAAATGGATAACATGTGGACATTTCATTCTGTATTAAATATGTAGTATTTGTTCAATTATCTTAAATCCACTAATTAGCAGTAAACAATCATTAACAAAGGTGATAAAACTGCCAAAGCATTAGGTATTTAACTTAATCCCATTGTCAGTTAATTAGTGTTACACAATCAGCATTATCAGGTAACAATTTTACCAGAAACGCCGGTAGGCATGAAATTTGGAAATTTTATTTTTTTGAAAAGGCAAAGGGGTGCATTCTTTTACTTAGGAGGGCAGAAGGGCGGGGGTAAGGGAACCTAGGGCGGGTCGCCCTTCTATTTAGGGAAGGCGGGAACACTGGGATAAGGGATAGTCATTACATTTAGGGGTCATCCCTCATTTCAGGGGTTGTTCACAACCTATTGAAGGACTGCTGAAAACCTAAACTTTAAACAGGGACAGTCTTCAGTCAGGGGACATACTTAAATGAGTTGATGACCTTGTACTGAATCTGGGATAATGACATGAAAATCACTTTTTTAAGTATCATACCTCTATTTTCTTCCAAAAAATCACTTATTTAAGTATTATTATTTTAATTACCCCCACTAATTTCAACACCCCCGAACAGTGAAATTTTGATCGCGAACAGTAAAATTTTATTACATAATCTGTAAGATGAAACCTTGAATTTTACAGGAAAATTACTACCACTGGCACTGCTGGGAAAAGTATCAGTTCATTATGTAAAGTCTTCATTATAGCATTTTTTCAACAAATATAGAATTTACAGCTCAATGAATGCATCAACGGCATAAGACTGTATCGGGTCCGTTCGCCCTAATTACATTTTCGCCCTGAGTCTGTTTGCCCATAGAGTCCGTTCGCCCTAATTTTTATTAAAAAAAAATAATATTAATGGTTTGTTTTAAAGTTTTGTAATCTTATTCAGGTATTAAAATGGCAAATATCTCCAAATTCATGAATCAAACATAGAAATTTAAAAAAAAAAGGTTTTTGTTTTGGAGCATTAATCAGGCTAATTGGCTTTTATATTGTTACATTTGTTTTTATTCAGAATTACTTTTAATGACTGTTGATTGTAAATAAACTCATCATAGATACCAAGATTGAAATTTTGTATGCCAGACACACGTTTTGTCTACAAAAGACTCATCAGTGACGCTCGAATCAAAAAAGTTAATAAGGCCAAATAAAGTCTGAGAATAAAGTTGAAGAGCATTGAGGACCCAAAATTTCTAAAAGTTTTGCCAAATACAGCTAAGGTAGTATATTTCTGAGGTGGAAAAGCCTTAGTATTCTGAAAATTCAAAGTTTTGTAATTTAGAATGCTGATTACGATGTCTTTGATCTCACTGATTGTTGTAGTTATTGTTTTTAATGGATTAATAATGAAATTGTTTTTTTTTTTAAATAAACAAGTCAGCTTGGAATGAGTTAAAACAATGATGTAAGAATTGTAAGACATTAAAGGGAAATTGTTATGAAATTGTTACAAGGTTTCAAAAAAGATAAATTCATACAGATAACTTTGTCTCCAGTTCCTGAACACTTTTTCTTCTTCTTCAAAATACTGTCCACATTCAACATGATGAATATTCTGGCAAGATTATTCAATACAAATCAAAAGAAAAATAATTATCTGGTAGCAGCAATACAACATAAATATTTCGGCGGAATTTTCAACAAACTTTAACATAATTAATTCAAGTAATTTATATTATACAAGACAACAAAAATAAAATAGAAATCAGGGCGTACGGACTGTGCGAACAGGAATTAGGGCGAACGGACCCAGGGCGAACATGTATTAGGACGAACAGGTACTAGTGCGAACGCGAATCAGGGCGAACAGACCCCGATTCGCATAAACCTTGCTATTTAAAAGAAGAAAAAGGTTCATTTTTTCCAATTTTACTAATAATAAGATATAATCTAAACCTATATGTTTAAAATTTTGATAAAACTGCAAAATCAAAATTTGTGACAAAATTTCGAATTTGCTACTTAAATAAGTGATTTTATAAATCACTTATTTCAGTTATTCCCCTGACTGGTCTTAGTATATAGAAAGTCCCTGCTTTAAAGAAGAAGAACCTATAAAACCCAAAGATAAACAGTTAACAATCTATCCTTTGCTGTTACAGAAACATTTCTTTACTTACTGGATTCTTCATCAATTTGTCAAGTCTCATCTTCTGTAATTCTGCTGGAGTTTTTGCGACAACAACATTTTTCTCACTTTTTTCTTTTCCGTCCATTTTTAACACCGGATATCTGGAACTTGCATTAATTCCGGAACAAAATGTCGGTTTGTTTGCAAATGAAAAAAATGGGTGAATCTGACTGTGAATTTTCTTTTACTCATGAAAAGTAGGAACGTAGAAATTGTATGATAATTTGAAACTTATCGTATTTCTAATGTGCTGTCAATGTATCCCTTACATGTATATATATATTGAAAAATATTTAAAAAATTAAAATCCGGATTTTCAACATCTATAGTTTAATCCCGAGGACTTCCGATAAAATATCTTTGGATTTCCATTGGTTATAAATTGTGCCATCTACAAAATTCAAATGGTCAATGAAAATGGTAAACAAAGCTGACGATTAAGTCTTTGCGACCAAACCATTTACTTATCCAGTTACACATATTGTTAAATATGTACTTATCCAATTTGACATGACAACAAAAAACACGGAGTAGTTCAGATGGGCCCAGAAGGCTGTGGTCACTAAAACTATTTTTTCACATTCATTGTCATTGTTCATGATTCTTCGGAAAAATCTTCCTCATGTTCCTTGATTATTTAACATTGGGCAACTCAAAATATTGACTAGGCTTTATCACTTCAAACCACCATACTCTGATCATTTCTCATATCTGTATAAACATATATGTTATTATATTTAATAATTTATATAATTCAATGGAAATCAATCAACAAAAATAGTTTTCAGTAACATAATTATTGTCTCCTCTGAGATTCGACTCATTGATATCTCAGTTTATAACAAAGGGTACAAGTCAAATTGGCACCTATAGAAAAAGTCAAATCGGCACCTTTAAAAAAAGTCAAATCAGCATCTGGTCATATCGGCACCTATTTAAAAGTCAAGTAGGCATTTAGTTGGTCAATTTGGCATCTAATTATATCATGAATATTTGATATAATATATATAAATAATTCTAAATATGGATAAATGTTTGATATGATATAGATAAATAATTCTAAATTTTGGGGTTGGATTATATCATTCATTACATCGCCAATCATGAAAAGAGTACTTTAGCATGCTGCTTGATAATTCAAAAAGGGCATGTCAAACATTGTCTTTTATTTTGTACACAGTAGCGAGTAGGGGTTTAAGCTAGGAGTTTGAGGGCTTTAGTCACTTTTACTTTTACTTTTTTACTTTTACGCAAGATGAAAATCAATCTTATTTTGGGTAACATTAAGGGACCAAGGACATATATTACTGGCTATACATATGCCCAAGTCTTTCAAGGATCTTTGAAGGCCTTAGGCATGCTACAGATGCAAGCAGTTATTGCATGATTTGTGTGACGGTTAAATATGAAGATAAGAGACATTCCTGATCAACAAAATCTCTCAGTTTCAGAATCACAGCATAAATGAAAATGTCACTACATAATCGTTATCCCTGTAAAAACGTTTAAATCGATATTTGGAGTTCATTTTTATAAACTTGGAAAGATTAAAATGACTGTATATTTTAAATTTATCAAGAATAGATCATGTTTACTTTCGATTTTAAAACGAAATAAAAACAGGAAGTGACAAGAGAAAATGAAGATGATGATAAATTTAGAATAAATCAGGATTCATCTATGGACTGGTTCGTGTTGAACAAAAAGGCAAGAAATTATCAATTTTTAAAGAAATATATTTGTGCCTCTAGTTTAATTTGATAAGAGAAGATTTCATATTTTACGTTTTAATGTCTATTAAACTAATAAGAATATGTTCACGCATGCGCAGTACATGATAAAGAAAATACCTGTTTGACCCATGAAAATATTTTTGAACGTTTTGAATAAAGTTTCATCTTTATAATCAAAATTGTTGAAAGATTTTGATGAAACTTTATAAAATGTGCCGAAAATACGTTCGTATGACGAAATTACATCAAACGAACTGCAAATAGCGATCGGTTGAGAAATTTTGAAATTAAAATGCGAACTGTCCAGGGGAAAATAATTTTGTTCTACTGATGAAACTACTAAAACATCTATGGATAAACGAACTGCAAATTGTGGTCTTTTGAGAATCATTGAAATTGAAATGCCTACTAACCGATATTACTGGGAAAAATAATTATAATGGTCAATTATGAGTTTATAAACGGATTAGTGACCCATCCGATGACGATAAGCAGATTACCTGTAATCACAACTTATAACACTTGCTTTTAAGGGTTAATTAGCTGAGGGTCATAAACTTGTCAGAAACATGAAGACAGATAGAATTATAGTATTTTCATTAAAGTAATACCGTAAAAAGGGCATTGACTTGCGAAAAAGGGCAGGGCGTCTTAAAAGGGCACAGGTCGGCAGTAGGATAAGGGCGGGCAAACCGCCCTGTGAAAACAATTTAGCTGGAACACTGAATCATGCAAAATGCTTAACTGGTTAAAACATGCATAACAAATATCTAATACCTTGAATACACATTTTAAAGTTGAACGAAAAAAATACATACAGAAACCCCCAAAAATTGTTAAAAAAGTCAATATTTCTGGACAACACCTTCTTTATTTTAATCTTTTTGCTTAAAATACTGAAAAAAATATATATTATATTTAACATGGGTGCCAAAATGACTACATTGGGTGCTGATTTAACCAGGTGCCAATTTGACTAGGTGCTGATTTGACTAGAATTCATAACAAATCAGCCTCACAAAGTTGGACTACTAAAAGATTGCATGTATATGATAATCATGGTTATTTATTTTGTTTGAAATTGATTATATTATCAGTCTTTATTTGGAATTAACTACAAGATAGATTAATTAACCTTCTTGCTGCGGATACTTTTATATGGTTGCATTTCGTGTGCAAGAAAATAGCACAGCTTGAAGTCTGTGAGTCACATGCCCAACAATGACCTCATTTGATATATGACATCACGCCCTTGTGGCATTACTTTTGAGACCTATTGTCAGTATTGAAGAAAAATGTTAAATGGTTTAATCTTCAGTATTTTATTTGAAAGAGATACAGCAATGATTTTATAATTAGAAGCTTACATGATTAAGCATATGGACATATACTTCCCTCTGGCAGTAGGAGGGTTAAATAAGTTATTTTGAACATATAACAAGCAAGAAATTAAGATTCTGTTAACAAGATATAAAGGATGTACTTGGGTCAGGTTTAGGAATTTGTGTTAGATGTTTGGACTACTTGGTTTTTTTCCTACAATACAGGGTAAATTATTTTGCCCCATAACACCCATTTTCATTTTCATATAAGACTAGCTCATAAAAGGTCATTTACCAAAATTTAAGCAGATTCTAGATTTCTTTTCTTTCGATAACTTGAGACCCAAATAATACCAATGCAAATATAAGGTCTGAGTCAGCCTTTTCCCGCCATTTAAAATTTTTTAAATATCTCAAAAAGGAGCTCCATAACCTATCAATATTTTTAGCTTGTTTTGATCCTTAACTTATGCTCTTTGACTTATACATGTAGTATAAATTTTGTTTAAATTCTAGAATTTTTTAATTTCACCTACATGTAAGCACATCCTTGAAAAAAAAGTAAGGCTAATTTCAGCTATAAGTATAAATGAAAAATTACTACTTCTTTGACTTTTCTTTTTTTTCATGATCATCCTCAATTGGAAGTCATAACTACTTATTATATAAGTATAAATATACTATTCAGAGTCACCAGTTGATAGCTTGTAATTAATTGGTTATCTTCATTCCTTTCATCCCATTTTTTGAACCATTTAACATGTTTAAGGTGGATCATCAGTATATATTGCCTCATACAGAATTATCTCTGTACTTTGCTGAAATGTAGATTTTAACTTGCTTTTCGTAATATATATCATGTATATAGTAATAAGTATGTGTCATCAACAGGCTATTTTCACAATTTTTGCATAGATTATTCATCATTATTCATGATAAAAACAACTTTTTGTTTTGAAAAAGAAAATCTATGAGATAGAATTTTAAATAAAATATTAGAAGATAGGTCTTATTTATGCTTTAGGAAAATAAAAAGAACAAATGGTGTCACAGAAATTGTTTTCTTGCAGCTTGCTTACAGTTTCATAATAGCATTCATTTATAAAACTTTTACTATAAGAGTTATCTCCCCTTAAATTGGATATTTGATTTGACTAAAAGAAATATTTGGTATTTGTTAACAGTGTAAAGATTGTAATAGAGTATTCTTTTACTTTATTCAAATAAACAGTCTGACACATTAACACTTTCCTTACTGGTTTGAACTGGTCTATGCGTTTCTATGAAAATCAAATATAAGCAAAGAACTATACTGTATTGCTGTATTAATACCGTATAGCGGGTTATTTTCGCGGGGTGTTTATTTTCGCTTATTTTGGCGGATAAACGAAAATCGCCAAAATAAATTCAGCGAAAAATTTATGCATATGTTGAGTATTTTCTAATAGCTATTTTTCCCATCGACAACTCAATAACGGTATATGTTAGTTTTAACAACATAAATGCCAAAGGGCATTGTACATACATGTATTTTATAAAATGACTGTCAGGTGTGTATACCCTTATTAATAAGTGTCAAGAAGGTACACCTTATCAGGTAATTACCCTTATTAATTAGTGTCAAACTATATATATAAGAATTGTAAACACTCATGATAATTTTGTTACCTAATTAGTAAGTACATCAAAGGTTCGGTCAATTTCGTAACTAATCAACCGTATTTACAAGACGTTTGAATACCTGTAACAAATATCTAAGTCACCGGTATTCTATTTATTAACTGTATCTGAATATAATCAATAAATAAGACGTCATTTAGTTAAAAACAAATCATTTTACCATATCAATAGACACTTGTTTGTCAAGTTTTACAACTTTATTAACTGCAACAATTTCAGTATCCGCCATATATTCAATTGGGATTTAAGAATCCGCCAAAATAAAAACCGCCAAAATTTTTCGTATACTTTGTTGCCCCTAAATCGCGAAATTTTACAACCACGAAAATAACCAGCTATATGGTATTGCAATCTGAGATGGCAGTATACAGTGAATCTACCTTTATGGTTTGTTGTATCCAATATCTTATATCTTAAACATGTATATATATATGAGAGGAACAGATGTCAATGTGTACTATTCCACTATTCCTACACTGCCTGTGCATGTGCACAAAGCCTTGTCAAGTTCACATTTGAAACACTGCGTAGGTTTTGATACACACATTTTCATTTTATAACTTTTAAACCCTATTTATACACGAGTTATACTCTATTGGGTGAACCGGTCTGCTGTGCTGAAAAATGATTCATGTGTTTTACTATTTTTGTCAAAATAAGTTAAGTCTTTGATCTTGTACAGTTTTTTTCATGTTCTTTTATAGAACTATGGGGTAAGTTCAAATTTCTTTGTTTTTAAAATTTTATATGTATATTAATGTAAGAAGTTGTCAGCATCTTTGTTGTCTGAAGACATTTGGTTTCAAACAATAACGAGTATAAGTGTATGGATCTCTATGAAATTGTAGCACAAGGTTCCATACCACAAAAGGAAGGTTGGGATATATTGCTTTTAGGGGTTATTGTTCTAGCTGTGATTAGGGGCCAAAAAAGGGGAAAAAACTAGGATTTTCTGGTTTTGGACAATAATTTGAGAATTTATAAGTCTATTGATCTCGACAAATTGTACCACAAGGTATCATACCAAAAAAGTAAGGTTGGAATTGATTTTTGGGGTTATCCCCCTTAAAGTTTGGGTAAAAGGAGCCAAAAACACTACTTTTCTAATCCTTTGTTATTTATAAATTGCTTATTTCATGACCAATTTCAATGGGGTTTAATTCAAAGTCTGTGATTCTTTGGGTTCTTGGATATGCTGAATTACCCGTGTATTTAGATTTTGGGCCCCATTATTAAATTGGTCCAAATTGAGGTCTAAAGGGTCCAAAATGAAAATTTTAGTTTGATTTCAACAAAAATTATATTCTTCGTGTTCTTAGGGTTGTTTGATATGCTGTATCTAACCCTGTATTTAGATTTTTGATTTTGGGCCAGGTTTCAAATTGGTCCACATTAAGGTCAAAAGTGTTCAAAATTAAACTTAGTTTGATTTTAACAAAATGAGATCTTGGGGTTCTTATAAACATGTTTTTAAATTTTTGATTTTTGGGTCCAGTTTTCACGTTCTTGTAAATCAACTTTGTTTAATTTCATAAAAAAATTGAATATATGGGTATCTTTGATATGCTGAATCTAACCATGTATTCAGATTTTGAATTTTGGGCCACATTATCAAAATGGTCCACATTGAGGTCCAAAGGGAAAAAAGACCAAACTTTATGCATTTGTGTTGTATTTTACTGATATGGGGACTGAGTTTTTGGCACTCAACATTAAGACTTTTTCTTTTACAGCAACATAGCAGGCAAGGCACAGGATTTCTTTCAAGCCTTTACACTTTTCATTTTTTTTTATTTCAAATATTTGAGGAAATTATTGCTGCTGTTTATACATGTTTAAGGTGATGATATCTGTGGTTGTTAGAACTCTGTTTGATTTTATTTTATAAGTGAATGCTTTGCTGCTTTTAAGCTTGTTATATTCATATTACATGCTTTTCTTTTGTAGAATGAATGAATTGTAGAAATGGATAAACTTGACAAGAAAAGAAGAAGATCTGTCAGACTTTTATCTCAAGCAGATGAGATAGAAAAAGCTTTGGTAACATTTAAAAACATGATTTTATCATATACTTATAGCAAATAACATTTAATTTTTACAGTATGATAACAGCATTGAATTTACATGAATTCCATATTTTTCCGAAATGGTGTTTAGCGGGCTGATATGAAAAATTTATCACGTGCCTTTCTGTAACGTTATCGCATGGCATTCTTTCGATACTCGGAAAATTCCGGAAAATACACCTCAATGGTACATTTTCAGTGAAAAACATTGCAATTAAAGTAGGGTACAAAACAATTATTACGATACAGGATAATATATTATGTAAAATAAAAAAATAAAAAAATGTTCAAATAAATGCATTTTTAAAAGTTTCATACATAATTTAGAAAGTTACTTTACAAATGTTTTTACAAATTTTTCCAAACAGTGTTCATTATGTTTTGTTGATTTTTTTTATCGTCAATATAAAAATATATCATGTTGTTTTTTCCCCTCTGTTGAGGCATATTTTGAAAGATTTCATATCGGATGTACTACATTTTGCGTCCGACGTCTGTAAACTTTTCACTTTTTGGACTTCTACGTGAGAACCACTAAAAAGGATCAATATATTAAACTGTTATTTTTCTCTATTGTTGAAGCATATGATAAAAAGATCATAACATGTCATTTTTCATATCAGATGTATTATAAGCCCTCGGTCAATATCAGCCCTCGAGCCTTCGGCTCTTGGGCTGATAATACATCTGATATGAAAAATGCCATGTAATAATCTGATATTATCAGACAGTCAGGGGTACTAATTGTACAAGTTATTTTTATTTACTTGAAGAAGTAAATAATAATATACTTATATAAGTAAATTCGTTATATTCATATTTTCTCATAAAGTTTGAATAATCTCCCCTTAATTTTCTCAAAAAAATTTACTTGTATAAGTAATTTTTTTTTACAATCTCTAAAATTCTCAAGTTTTGGGATGTAAAAACATGCCTTAAACAATTTTTCTCTGGTTAGCTCATAATTTTTTATTAGAGTTCAATGTTTCATCTCATTAATTCAATAGAGAAAGTAATTGTGCAAGGCCTTCAAAAATTGCCCCTTGGAGGCTTGTAAATGATCATGAGCAGTATTATGAAGATAACAAACAAATGAGATTTTCATTGTCCATGAAATTACATTTCAATAATTAGTAAAGGCATCTGCAAAGGACAGACAATTAAAAATTCTATTAGAGCAAAGAAGTCATGAGAAATTCAAGAAAAGAAAATAGTATGACTTTTTTACTTGTATAAGTAAAAAAATCTGAATGTCTAAGGGACATAACTAATCCATTAAAATAATTTACCTATCCAAGTAAATAAAATACACTTGTATAAGTATCTTACAATTTTACTTATATAAGTATATTAATATTTACTTCTTCAAGTAAATAAAAATAACTTGTACAAGTAGTACCCCTGACTGTCAGACTATAGCCAAGTACTACGACTCTTTTCAAAAAAATCTTACAGGTAAAAACATTCGTAAATTGGCCAATTCAGTATAACTTGGGTGAATGTGATTAGTTTCTATCATAAGATTTTTTGTGAAAATTGTCCCTGCTAGGCATTTTTTCTGACTTTCTCTAACAATTCATGGATTTTCTTTCAGGTCTTTTTATTTAAATCTGGTCCAAACGGCTGTTATGAGCTTTTCTAATACTTTGTGTACAGATCTGTAAAATATTTTGCTCTCACACTAAATTTTAGACGGAACCACACCTATGGTGCTTTTCACAAAAAATCGTAACAGTTTAATTACTCAAAAGGTTGTGCATGACAAACATGACTTGTGAGTGAATGTAATATAAGGTTGTTTTTTAAAGGATTCACTGGCTATTATCTTGATTATAGCTCTTACAGTTTTAAGTTTAAAATATAGACTGTGTTACTGGTGATCTGCCAGTATTATGCAATAAGGCATGTATGGGCACTGTTATTAAAAGTTATCATACATTGTCAATTATTGTCTGAAAAAATCTTACAATGGTCAAATATTTGCAAAGCTTTCAGATATAATGCAGTAAGTGATCCATTTTTGCCTTGAAAAAAGTAGAAAAACCTAGATTTATGCTTTCTGTAGAGGTACATGTACATGTAGGTTAATGGTATTTGGAAACATCTAAACTTCTTGATCATGCAGTTGCCCAAGGCTACTAGTTTTTTGGTTGGGCGAATATATTTTATCATGATCACCCAGCTGAATCTAAATTATTTTGCAGTGAATCCCATTTCTACTCTTCCCCGCAATAAAAACAAAAATGGTTCTAAATTAAAAAAAAACCCTGATTGTCTAATTGCTAAAGTAAGATAATAGAGGAGAAAATTTCCAGAAACCAATAAGTTTTCGATCTGCAGTCAGGATTTGACATTTACCCTTTCTCTAATGTGTTTGTTTCTCTCTTTTGGAACTTCTACAATTATTTCATTATTGTTTATTGTTAACAAGTAAACTGCAGAGTCTGCCTTGCTTCCGAGATGCTCTCAAGTTTTCCAGGGAGTCATTATAAGCCTGTATTTGTTGATAACTTGTCATTGCATAGCTATTTACAAAATCTTACAACAAAAAATCTAAATGCAAAATCATTTGAATAAATATCAAAACATTTAGTTTACTATCCAAATTTCAATAAGAAGTAGCTAAATATTATTTTTAAATAAATAGTACTAACTTCAAGGATTGCTCTAGCTTGCATTTGAAATATACTAATGATTCATTTTTATTATTATACTTTTTACAGATAGATAACTTTGAAGCAAAATATGGCAGTGTATGGAAGGATTTTTCTCCAGATTATGTTTCATGTAGGAGAAAATCCATCACAGGAAGGAGATCTGGAATCCATAAGAAACTTCCTTTGCCTGTAATAAATGATGATTTGACAACAGATGAATTATCAGTACATAACAGATTTGACTCCCCTGAATTGTTGAGAGCTCCTGACAACTTATCAGCTGACAACTCCCTTAATGGAAAAGTGAACACCAGTGCAGTAACACCTAATTTGATGGTACCTGAAAATGATCAAGAAAGTCTGAAGTTGGAAACTCCAAAATCGTATGCAGGTGAAAACATGTTATTTGTATTATTGGTCAAGGAATTGGTGTGATATTATGAAAGGGTCTTAACTTTTCAAGGAAGATTTATTTTTATTCGTTCCTTAGATTGACTAACACTAACTAACTGATAAAATTAAAAATAGGAATTTCAGTAATCATGAGGATATAAAGTTATTATGATGAACAAACATGACAGAAAAAATCAATAAATGGTTTCAACATGACAGAAAATATTTAGATTTTCATTTGATTTTTGTTGTCCAATTATATTGATTGCATGAAGAGCCAACTAGATAATTTCCCCTCGTGTAAATGTATGTGAAAAACACCTCTTTCTGTCTCTCATATGTCTTTTAAATGTCTTACAAAATGTATGTTTCTCAACAAAAAATATATGTAAAAAAATAAGTATTCACTTGAAAAGCACAATTTATGACAGGAGGTGATAACTCTGTCAGAATTCCCACAATAACAGTATGCCTGTTATTTTCTATAAAAACTTGTTTAAGTTATACCCTTGACTGTTAAGGTATAACAGGTGTCTTCCTCCATCTTGGAATGTAAAATAGGAATAACTGTCTGTCTTGACGTGTTGATGTTAATGAAATGTGCAAATTTTGAGAGATAAATGCAATTATTACATTGGTTGCAATGACAGTCAGGGGTACTACTTGAACAAGTAATCTTTATTTACTTGAAGAAGTAAAAAAAATATACTTATATAAGTTAATTATAATGTTTGAATAATCTCCCCTTAATTTTCTCAAAAATTTACTTGTATAAGTAAATTTTTTTTACAATCCCACAAAAATTCTAAAGTTTTGAGATGTAAAAACATGCCTTTAATGATTTTTACCAGGTTAGCTCATAATTTTTTATTAGAGTTCAATGTTTCATCTCATTAATTCAACAAAGAAACTGATTGCGCAAAGATCTTAAGTATTTGCGCAAGGCCTTCAAAAATTGCCCCTTCGGGGCTGGTAAATGAGCAGTGTATTGAAGATAACAGACAAATGAGATTTTCATTGTCCATGAAATTACACTTACATCATTAGTAAAGACATCTGCAAAGGACAGACAATTGAAAATTCTATTAGAGCAAAGAAATCCTAAGAATTCAAGAAAAGAAGATAGGATGACTTTTTTACTTATATAAGTAAAAAAATCTGAATGTCTAAGGGACATAACTAAGCCAAAAAATTATTTACCTATACAAGGAAATAAAATACACTTGTATAAGTATCCTACAAATTTACTTATATAAGTATATTAATATTACTTCTTCAAGTAAATAAAAATTACTTGTACAAGTAGTACCCCTGACTGAATGAAGAACTGTGATTTCCCAGTGAAATAAAAACCGATAATTTCACGTTAAATAAATCTGATAATTTCACTCCACTGACTTCATACAACAATAGTTGTTGTCAATACGATGTTTATGACGTTGCATCAATACTATTTAGAATGCATAGAAATATAGAATAACCATACATTGTCTCGAAATATAAATTTTATTTGTTCAAGGCTTAGAAACAGGTAGAAAGCAAGGTTTTCCGAGCATTTCTATCCTGTTTTGAGTCGAGTACAAATAAAATTTATATTACGAGATAATGTATTGTTATTTTTTATATACTGCAACTCTTACAACTGTTCCAAATGAATATTTAGGGTAAAACCATCATTTTTTAAGTTAGAGCAAACAACGTAAAACTTCTGCGAACCTGTACCTTTTAATGACATCATAAATAAAACTCTACAGAAATGCATTGTCAATGTTATAAACAAGGCGATATATGGTCAGTGACTGTATATCACAAATGATTATACGGTCAATGCAATTTGACTGCAAATAGCACAGCTGCAGTATATAAAGATATATAAAAATAAGGAGATGTGGTATGATTGCCAATTAGACAACTATCCACCAAAGTTCAAATGAAGTGGATGTAAGCGAATATAGTTCCTTTCATCAATTACTTTATTTCCCTTAATTATATAAAAAGTTTATGGTCAATGTAATAAAAAGAATAACTAATCCAAGAATTAAAATATTGAAACAATTCAAATTGTAAGGGATCACTAATGATAACAAACTCATGTGCTACACACGTTCATGAATTAATGTGTTGTTCGGTCACTTGTTGGATATTTTTCTATATTTGAATTCTTGGATTAGTTATTCTGTAATTCATCATTTGTAAGACTTTTAGACTTTTTAATTATGTGTTATGTCTTATTATTAAAACAGGTTTTACAAGAATAATTTTTGTTTGAAACTGGTATATTTAGTGAAAAATGCATCTAGTACAATAGACAACTATCGAGTTCGATGCATTTCCGTCAAAAACTTTGGTTTTAGTGAACATCATTCGTGCGTTAAGGGGCATCGTCACTTCCGTTCCCATGTGAGCGAGTGGTTGGAAAACTATGATGCTATATTGCACATAATATTCGGCAAATTGAATTCTCATAATTGACAATCAGCACTGCTGTCATTAGGGAATTGTGATTAAGTACCTACAGAATCAACATTATTTCTAGTTTATCCTGCACAATGACGATCACTAAGATGCTTGATAAACGTTTATAGTGCAGGGATACAGGCGATCCCCTCTATCTGTTAAATGACGTCATAAAGGCACGCATAATTGAAGAGTTTTTTTCTGGTGAAGGACAAACTCGAAAGTGGTCTATTATTTTTTAACTTGGCTGTATAAGGGGAGATAACTTCATTGACATTTTCAGATTATTTTGTAAAGGAATGTGTTGTTCGTTTACCTTTTTGTCCCCTGCGAAAAGGGTTGCAGAGGGACCTAGAAATACTGGGCGTTGTCCGTATGTCTGGCCATTTTGTCTTGTTAACGCTCTCACTTGTGCAATTATTTCCAGATTTAAATAAAACTTATAGCATAGGTTTATATCTGCATTATCTTGGACAAATTCAAATCTGTGCCAATCAAATATTTTTAAAAGAGTTATGCTCCTAGGACATTGGAACTCTGTTTTTTTTATTTGTTTTGTTCATGTAGCATGAAAGCCAGTTCGGTGACCCCAATTTTCTTTTTATTATTTGAAAGCACATTATAAGAGCTATGGCACAATATTTTATTATAATTTCAATCATTTAGCTTTGTTTATTTGCGTATGAAATTGGTTTTTCTTTGCATAACATGTACATGTATAATATAAACAAGATCAAACAAATTTGCACAACCTGTTGCTCGAAAAATGAACTCTCTGACCCATATTTTTTATTTTATTTCTACAAATAGCACGATAAGACATTTATCTATAATAAATCTATAAATTACATTTTGATGTACTTATTAAAAAATTCTTTCTATTTAATTAATACTTCCTATTGACCTTTAGGGCATATGCACTAGTTTTGTTCATGTTCAGTGTTTCAAGAAAACAGGTTTACATAATAAGATAAACAGTTAACTTAAGCTTAAGCCTTCCCTGGGTACCATGTATGTTTAAACAAAACAGCCCTCAAAACAAATGCTCAAACTTTCTGGAACTTGTATGAATATTGATGGAAGAGAGCATCAATTTGAGGTTTAAAAACTTTTTTAGTTTCTCATTCTACTGTATTACATGAGTAAGGGGTATTAAACTGTCAGATTTAAAGCAATCTTTCTGCTGTTGTTAGCAAGTTCCCTTTTGATTTAGAAAATTTTCTGTTTTGTCAGACATGAGTTATGGGACTTCAACTGTCAGATTTAAGGCAATTTTTAACATGCCACATACTTATAATTACAAGAGTATGCTTGGATAATTTTATTCTAACTGAATATTGTTTTTTTGGATTGGTGATTTTAGTAAAATATAATCTCCATTTTGATTTTGTAAATTTCCCAATTTGTAATTCTGGAGTTATTGGCGGATCCAGAACTTTTCATGGGGAGAGGGGGGGGGGGGGCACTGACTGACCTAAAGGGGGGGGGGGCTCCAGTCATGCTTCAGTGATTCCCTATATTATCAACCAAATTTTTCCCACAAAAGGGGGGGGCCAGGGCCCCCCCCCCTGGATCTGCCTATGGCCAAGCATACCAGGAGCTAGTGCTGCTGTTTTATTGAATAGTTTTAAAGCATTAGTATTTCTTATATTTTCAGATAAATTGAAATAAACTTGAATTTGAATATGAAAACTATTATATATACCGCTAATATGTTTTCGTTTGTTTTTGTTTTTAAGGTAAACCTGTTAAGGATTTTAGCAATACTCCAGATAATGTTGAAGTGCCATTTGAAACAGAGTTTGAAAGTCCTGATTACCCTGAGGGTATTTTGATTGGACAAAATAATTATATTGATCTGTGTCAGAGTCCCATAATGCCAGAAAGATATTCACAGATGGGAATTCCGGTCACACCTAAATACAAGAAAGTTGACAATGAGTTCAGAACCCCGTGTGCAATTCTAAAATTAAATGATTCTTTACCATATTCCCCATCACAGCCAGTTTTCTCAACACCATCACTCAATTTACCTAAATCCAATTCAGAGACACCATTCTCATCACACTTTATTTTTGACCGAGTTGAAAATAGTTCTGTATCTTCACCGTCAGAATCAGAGATGACAGAATCTTGTTTAGACATATGCTCAGAGACATCAGAAAAGGAAGAAACAGCGTATCAGACAGCACCAAAGCAACAACTGTCATCAAGTAAACTGTCAAATAAGAAAGTTAACAAGACAGAAAATTTAGAAACCTCTGGAGAAAAACTTGAGCGGGAAAGAAAAGAGACATCTACCTTTTTGTCAATATGCAAATCTCTTGCTAGTAAAATTGTTAATGTAGTGCGTAAAACTCCTGAAAATGATACTGATAAGCAGACAGAAAATTTAGAAAATACAATTCAAGATTTTTTTCCAGCTGCTGAAGTTATTGATACATTAGAAGATAAAACACATTTGGATGTAAATTGTGAGACAAAGTTAGTCTTTGAGTGTGAAAAAGAAATGGAAATATGTGTATCTGATATGCCTGTGAATAATACAACAATTACGAAAAAGATTGAAGACAATTTGTTTGACCTGCATTCTGCAAATCATGATTTGTTTTTGACAGTTAGCAATAAATCTGAAAAATCAAACAATGACATCATTAACAAATGCAATAAGAATGTAAAACTTAAAACACATGGAAGTTTGGGTAAGGAAACAACTGAAAACGAAGATGCTGAGTCGAAAGATACATTAGATATGATATCTAGTCATTGTCATACTGAATCACTGTCTGATAATAATAATGTTAAATCATTTACACTGTTGAAGTCTGTTGGTAGTGAAGAAGAGGAAGAATGTCATATCAAAGATATAAATCTTAGAGATTTTAATTCAAATTCTAAACGTAGAGCAGTGTCTGAAAAAGTACAAGAGTCTAATGTGCAGAAACATGTTCATTTACTATCAAATGATGCAAAATCTGAAAGAGGAGTGGTTACTGATCATCAACAAATCACTGGCCAAATCTGTTCCCATGAAACAGTTCAAGAAGGAAATAAGGCACCAAAGAAAGCTGCCATAAAAAAGCAGAGTAAAGCAAAAAGGCTATCCATCGATTCACATATATTGCCTGACATTTCTTCAGGAAAGTTGTCTCATGATGCTGATGCAAAAGATGATAAATTAAAGAAGAAAAAATCATCAACAGCTCGTAGAAGATCAGCTGATCCAGTTCTGTTAGCTCGCATGAGTGAAAAATTTGGTGACAAACCTGGACCAAGCTGGACAAGTGCTAAAAAGTGTGCTGATGTGGAAGAAGTAAATGAACAGAAAAAAGACGCCAATATTCCTTCCCTAGAAGAGGAAATACCTAAGAAGAAAAGGGGTAAACCTGCCAAAAGAAATTCAGATATTGGACTTTCTAAACTTAAAAAACAAGACCAGGATTCTGTAGTAAAAAAAGACAGTACTTGTAAGATCAATTCAATTAGTGACAAAAGTAAAATAGAAGATGGTAAGAATAAAGATAATGTATTGAAAGATGATGTACCCAAAAAGAAAAAAGGTCGACCTACTAGAAGGAAATCTGCTGATCCAATTCTGTTGTCTCACATAAGCAAAGACATGGTTTGTAATGATGATGGCATTTGCTCACAGAGGTGTGAAAACAATGAAGATACTAATGAAATAGATTCTCAAAACACTGATAGAAACAGAGCAAACATTAGTAATGAGATTAAAATAAACAGAAGGAAAGGTCGTACTGCAGGAAAGTTAACGTCTGTTAAATTGTCTCAGATCATTGAGGAAGCTGGTGATGATAAAAATGACAGTGGTAATAGTAGTCATGGTAGTGTTGATAGTGGTAAAGATTTTGAAAGTTTCATCAATGAAAATGTTACTAGTCATTGTCTAAATGAAGTCGACAAAAGGGGAATAGAAACTGAGCAGTTGACAGTGAATGAAACAGAAGATCTTGACAAAAACATAACAGAAAGGGAAATTTTACTAAACCATGTAAATAGTGCTGACTTTGACAAAATTCAAGAATTCCTTTCCATGGATGAGGAAAAACCTATTGTCAAAAGTTCTAAATCTCGACGTAGATCTGCTGATTCTCTTACATTGTCTGACAGTGTCTCACATTCTCAGCAGGATGGAAATTCTGACATTCCCTTAAGGAGAACAACAAGAATTAAAAGACGATCAATTGAAATATATCAAGCTGGTGAAAATTATCAGAATAATGAATTGGAGAGTTTCTCAGACAGTGCTAATTCACAAGAAGAAAATAATCCTCTAGGGACAAGTGAAAGTTCATCAGGTGTAAAAGCAAAACCAGCACGAAAACGAAAAATGAAAGAGGAGAATGTTGAGGATCTTTATAGAAACAAAAATTATAAAAGACCTGATGACAGAGTTTGGGAAACTATATTTGAATGTCCTGATGAGCTGAAAAATCCTGACCAGCTTTTAAGTAAGAAGCGCTTTAAAAGGTCAATTTCTTTTGAGTGTATAATGCCAACAAAAATAAAGAAACGTTCAAAAAAAGCTGTAGAAAATGGCTGGGATGCTAAGCGAAGGAAAAAACAACAGCTCCCAGATGAATTTGTCATAGAAAAGCTGGCTGAATTAGATAGTATTTTTAATAGTTGATTTCATTACTTACACAAATTTATATATCATTTTGTGAATGAAATGCAACTTTAAATAGATTAAAGCCATAAAGATCTTATTAAACTTAAGTCCTTTGTTCCTAAGCCATTTTATTTTTATATTGGGTGCATGTATGAACATGATTAATAACCTTATTTTTACTTCTACTTATGGGGAGGGGGATTTTTTAAACTTATGTAATGGATCAGAGGTTAGACCAAAAAAAAAATATGTGTTTATGGTTTCCCAACCAACCCTAATTTTAAGTGCCAGTTTTCTGATGATTTCTTCAAAACTATTTTATCAAGATATTAGCTGTTGCAACCGCTAACTTATTTCATCAAATTACTGGACAGAAATGACTCAAAAGTCAAAATGTGTTAAAATCACAATTCTGTTCATTGACAAACTGCAAATGAGGCAGTTTGCGTATGTTAATAACAGAACAGGAATTGGACTAAAAAAAAAACTGACCAACCTATCCTATACTTTTTTGGAAGGAAAACATATTATTTTTTTGGCCTTATCATCATGATCATCATTTTTATTATTTTGCCTGCAATGAATGCCAGAAGAAGAGTGACGCGAATGTTACGTTTCTGGTACATGTATATGGATACTATATTAAAACAAGTAATATTTAATTATTTACTTTTGATAAGACCATTGTTGCTTTAACACCTGTATGTTTATTAGAATTGCAAGCAGTATACATTCAGGTCATTACCATGATAACATTAATCTAATACATATACATATGAAAGTGTTTGCAATAATGAAGTTATACCATGTATACAGACTGACTTTAAGGTATGTTAATTGGTATTATGTTGATTAAGCACATACATGTATACATCTAAGTGTATGAATTGATTTTAAGGCATTTATGTACATCTGATAGGGTTCATTTGTCCTCATATTCATGGATCATTGATAATGTTAATTTTATGTAATATTTGTTGTTTAACCTTTTTCTCGAAGACTTTCATCATAAAATCAATCATTGAAATAGTAAAAAGTAACAAGAACAACTGAAAATGAAATTTGAATAAAATTTTGATGTTTTTATATTGTATTGTGCTACCTTGTCATTTGCTTGTAATGATCTAATACAATGTTTTTACTTGAAATACAACAAAATGCAAAATAATCAAGTGAAATTTAATGATATTGTACCTGGGACCATTACACTAAATATATTAGTCCTCGATTGTACAGGCTAGAGCAAAAAGCCATCAAATCTTATTCATATATTTTTGAAAAGTGTATAGATCTAAGCCTTAAAAAAATGTTCATGTACATATGAAAAATGCATAAAAATTGTAAATATTAATGTCATGAATACAGTATTGGTATATATATACGTACGTAGATATTAAATAATAGACAAATATTTTGTTTTGGAGAGATGATTTTGTCTTGCATTGGGAAAATAGAAACAATGAAAAATTACCATATAAAATATTTGCAGTGTTTAATTGTCTTGCCATGCCAAGAAAGTCTAAGTAAGCAAGACATAGGTATTACTATAACAATGGCCAACAATTTATAAATAGCAGTAAGATCTTATCCCAACTTTCACATAAGATGCCAAAAATGTGAAGTTTATTATTTCTAATAATTTAATTCTTTTATACTCTGATTTAATTCTGTTATGTCTTTTCTTTGCCCTTGACAGCCTGTTATTGTCACCTGACCTTGATCTACAGTGGTTAGGTTAAGTGTTCTAGATGAAGTCTGTTCCACAGTAATTTTAAACTACATGATGTGTCAACAATATTTGATGTAGTAGTGTTTGTTGATCTGACATATGTCTTATGGTCTTAGATACATAATTTTTGTCTCGCCGGCGAAGAAAGTCGAGGAAAGTGAGACATATGGATTCCTTTTTTAGCGACTGTGACGTTTCCGGCTCAGGCGTCCACAATTGTTAAGTTTTCTGCTTAAGTTAGTTTGATAGGAACTACTTGTGATAGATCATTGATATTTAATAGAAAATTGCATTACTATCAGTACATATCAGTTTCACGACTTTTTTGAGGCCCTGCCCCCTTATTGGACATGGTCCAGTGACTTTAAATTAATTAGCAATTTTCAATGTTAAGTTTTCTGCTTAAGTTAGTTAGATAGGATCTACTTGTGATAGATCAATGATATTTTGTATAAAGTCGCATAACTATCAGCACATATCAGTTTGACGACTATTTTGAGGCCCTGCCCCCTAGAACATGGTCCTGTGACTTTGAATTAATTAGCATTTTGAGGCCCTGCCCTCTTATTGGACATGGTCCAGTGACTTTGAATTAATTTGCAATTTTCAATGTTAAGTTTTTCTGCTTAATTCAGTTTGATGAAAACTACTTGTGATAGATCAATAATATTTTGTATGAAGTTACATAACTTTCAGTACATTTTTGAGGCCCTGCCCCCTAGGACATGCTCCAGTGACTTTGAACTAATTAGCAATTTTCAACGTTAAGTATTCTGCTTCAGTTAATTTGATAGGATCTACTTGTGATAGATCAATGATGTTTTATAGGAAGTAACATTACTATCAGTACATCCCAGTTTGATGACTATTTTGAGGCCCTGCCCCCTTATTGGACATGGTCCAGTGACTTTGAATTGATTAGCAATTTTCAATGTTAAGTATTCTGCTTAAGTTAGTTTGATAGGATCTACTTGTGATAGGTCAATGATAATTTGTATGGAGTTACATTACTATCAGTACATATCAGTTTGATGACTATTTTGAGGCCCTGCCCCCTTATTGGACATGGTCCAGTGACTTTGAATTGATTAGCAATTTTCAATGTTAAGTATTCTGCTTCAGTTAGTTTGATAGGATCTACTTGTGATAGGTCAATGATAATTTGTATGAAGTTACATTACTATCAGTACATGTCAGTTAGATGACTATTTTGAGACCCTGCTCCCTAGGACATGGTCCAGTGACTTTGAATTTTAAAATTAGCAATTTCCAATGTTTAGTTTTTCTGCTTAAGTTATATTGTTAGGAACTACTTACAATAAACAACGATATTTTCTATAAAGTTACATTACTGTCTGTACATATCAGTTTGTTGACCATTTTCAGGCCCTGCCCACTAGATCATGGTCCAGTGACTGAATTAATAAGCAATGTTGCTGTCCATCTGATTGTCTTTTTCTGAATTTTATGCCAATAGGCGAGACATATCTATGTGTCAACAGTTTATTTTATTATTTGTTATTGGCTTTGAACTAGCTGTCAGTAACTGCAAGTACTCTCAGATCTGTACTTAGTGTATTTTTTGTTGTGGGGATGTATAAATACCCTGCCATGTCTGATCTGTTTGTGTTACTTGTTTTTATATGACCGCAAAAACGACCGCAAAAATTTTTGCGGTCGTATATTGGTATGACGTTGGCGTCGTCTGGCATCGTCCGAAGACACATTGGTTTTCGCACTCTAACTTTAGTTTAAGTGAATGGATCTCTATGAAATTTTACCATAAGGTTCAATACCACAAAAGGAAGGTTGGGATTGATTTTGGGGGTCAAAAAGGGGCCAAAAATAAGCATTTTTGTAACTTCCAGACATAACTTGTGTGTTAGTGTATGGATCTCTCTGACATTGTACCACAAGGTTCCATATCACACAGGGAATGCTGGGATTGATTTTGGGGGGTAATTGCCTCAAAATATTAGGAATTAGGGGCAAAAAAAGGGGCAAAAAACAAGCATTTTTCTAGTTTCATGACAATAACTTGTGTGTAAGTGTATGGATCTTTCTGAAATTGTACTACAAGATTCCATACCACAAAGGGAAAGCTGGAATTGAGTTTGGGGGTAATTGCCCAAAACGTTTAGGAATAAGGGGCCAACAATAAGCATTTTCTAGTTTCCAGACAATAACTTGTGTTCAAGTGTATGGATCTCTTTGAAATTGTACCACAAGGTTCCATATCACACAGGGAATGCTGGGATTGATTTTGGGGGTAATTGCCTCAAAATATTAGGAATTAGGGGCCAAAAAAGGGGCAAAAAACAAAAATTTTTCTGGTTTCATGATAATAACTTGTGTGTAAGTGTATGGATCTTTCTGAAATTGTACTACAAGGTTCCATATCACAAAGGGAAAGCTGGAATTGAGTTTGGGGGTAATTGCCCAAAATGTTTAGGAATAAGGGGCCAAAAAGTGGCAAAAAATAAGCATTTTTCTAGTTTCCAGACAATAACTTGTGTTCAAGTGTATGGATCTCCCTGAAATTGTACTGCAAGGTACCATACCACAAAGGGAAGGCTGGGATTGAGTTTGGGGGTGATGAATCATAAGGGGGTTCAAAATTTGGGGGGGGGATTTTTTTTTTTTCCTTTTTTTTCTTTTTTTCCTTTTTCTTTTCTTTTAAAATTTTCCATTTTAAGTTGGTTATTTCTGTTTTATATTTAAAAGCAAATAATAATGATATGGTAGGAGATACACACCAAACAGGATATGTAAATTATTATATAATGAGTATTGTGCAATAGCAAGAAATTTTCAATAGCACAGTATTGCACAATAGCAAGAAATCTTCAATTTCACAGTATTGCGCAATAGCAAGAAATCTTCAATTGCACAGTATTGTGCAATAGCACAATATTGCACAATAGCAAGAAATTGTCAATTGTACAGTATTGCACAATAGCAAGAAATATTCAATTGCACAGTATTGTGCAAAAGAAAATACTTCCTATAAATTGCTTATTTCTTGACCAATTTCAATGGGGTTTTATTCTTGAATTCTTGGGGTTCTTTCATATGCTGATTCTAACCGTGTATTAAGTTTTTGGATTTTGGGCCCCGTTTTTAAATTGGTCCACATTGAGGTCCAAAGGGTCCAAAATTAAACTTTGTTTGATTTCATCAAAAATTGAAATATTGGGGTTCTTTGATATGCCGAATCTAACCGTGTATTTAGATTCTTAATTTTTAGTTCCGTTTTCAAATTGATCTACATTAAGGTCCAAAGGGTCCAAAATTAAACTTAGTTTGATTTTAACAAAAATTGAATTCTTAGGGTTCTTTGATGTGCTGAATCTAAACATGTATTTAGATTTTTGATTATGGGCCCAGTTTTCAAGTTGGTCCAAATCGGGGTCCAAAATTAAACTTTGTTTGATTTCAACAAAAATTGAATATATGGGGTTCTTTGATATGCTGAATCTAACCATGTATTTAGATTTTTGATTTTTGGGCCCCATTATCAACTTTGTCCACATTGAGGTCAAAAGGGTCCAAAATTAAACTTTGTTTGATTTCATCAAAAATTGAATTCTTGGGGTTCTTTGATATGCTGAATCTAACCATGTATTTAGATTTTGGATATTGGACCATAATAGGTGAATTTCCAATTTAAAATTTTTAAGTTCTTTAAGGAATGACTGTAATATTTTTTCTGTCTATGAAGAAATAACATCAAAAATGTGGTGCACACTGAATAACCTGCGTAGCGGGTTATTTTAAAGTGTACACCACATTTTTTATGTTATTTCGAATAGACAGAAAAAATATTACAGTCATTTCTTATAATTTAATTCTAAATTCCATTTTAAACCGTAGTAAACAATGAAAAAACGTTGATGACGTCACGGTCACATGATAAAATTATGTCTATGAGCTGATAAACAAAACAACTTCAGCCAATCAGAAGACGCGTTACATCCAAAATTAAATTATTAGACCACATTCATTCTGTGTCAGAAACCTATGCTGTGTCAAATATTTAATCACAATCCAAATTCAGAGCTGTATCAAGCTTGAATGTTGTGTCCATACTTGCCCCAACTGTTCAGGGTTTGACCTCTGCGGTCGTATCAAGCTGCGCCCTGCGGAGCATTTTATTCTGCTTTGTATCGATTTTTATAGTTTGTTCATATGTTGTGTTGTTACACCACTGTCCCAGGTTAGGGGGAGTGTTGGGTGCCCGCAAACATGTTTAACCCGCCACATTCTGTATGTGCCTGTCTCAAGTCAGGAGTCTGTAGTTCAGTCAGTGGTTGTTTTGTAAATAAATCAGGCCATTAGTTTTCTTGTTTGAATTGTTTTCCATTTGTCGTTTGGGGGCCTTTTTTAGCAGACTATGCAGTATGGGTTTTGCTAATTTTTGAAGGCGGATCAGTGACCTATAGTTTTTTGGTGTCTGATGGAGAGTCGTCTCATTGACATTCATACCATATTTTTTATACCCCCGCCGTAGCAGAGGGGGCATTAAGTTTTACCCTTGTCCATCTGTACGTACCTACGTCTGTACGTCCCAAAATTGGTTTCCGTTTTCTAACTTGAGTTTGCCTCAACCAAATGTCATGAAACTTATACACAATGCTTATTACCACAAAATACTGATCAAGTTGGAATTTTGATAGGGTCAT